CCCTTGGAGAATCTGAATTCCTCCTCAGTGTCTCCATATCGGTGTTTGTAACATAGCATCTATTTATTATCATTACAAGCCTTGCATTATAATTCTAGAGGCCGGTGTTTAAAAATCAAAGTTCTGAAACCTTAATGTCAAATCACCTCAAGTTTAAATTTATATTCAAATGTTATTGATGGCACTGATTGTCTCTACTAATTTATATGGGAGTTATTAACTCCATTTTTTAAATTTGTTTGTTTTGGTGCCATACTAGCTGATGCTTAGAGCTTACTCCTGACTCTCAAGGATTACTCCTGGAGGGATTCTAGAGATTATATGGGGTGTCGGGGATCAAATCCGTGTTGGTTACATACAAGGCAACTACCCACTGTACGTTGACTTTGGCCTATTAACTCCATTTAGTAATAAAAAGAAATATATTTTTAGATGCTCATATTTAATCATCCCATATCAATATTTTATAGTCTAATTTCTTAGCTGGTTGATACTCAATGTATGTAAGAGGTATAAATTTTTCCTTTTAAATAATCTGCCAGGCCAGAGAGATTTTAAATTATATAACTCTATGGTAGGATTGGGACAAAAATACTGAGACTAGAATATATTAAATATCAAGTGTATATGCTTTTTAAAGCAAGTATACAATTTGATACATAAATTTATTTTGACTATATTGTAAATGATAAAATATGTCTACATTAGTAATAAAAATTTTGTTTACTACTTCTACCATCAAAGCACTAACAACAATGACAGCTTTGCCATACTGTTTGACTAACTACGTAACTTTGCAAAGCAGTGTGGTATAGCAAATATAGCAGTCCTAGAATTGAGGGGTATCAAGTATTTGAGAAATATTCCCTGCAAATTTTCTGTTCACATATTTTCTTTACATTGCACAATAGTACAAAAATACCTGAGTCCAGTTTTGAAATGTATGCATTTGATTTTAATCCCAAATATCATAATTCATTATTTTGTTGTTAAATAAAAGTCTTCAACTAAAACCTTTTACTTTCAATCCAATTCCTTGCAAATTCAAGGTTAGATTCAGATAAAAACTGTCATAATTCCAGGTTTCTTGAAGTGTACAATATTGGAAGATGAACAAGCATAAACATATCCCCAATAACTCCACTGGGTCTGTATAGAATATAAATATTTGTGTGTATATATGCATACACACATATGTATTCTTTCCAATGTTGTTGTTCATGTTTAAATTGTGCATTTAGAGAGCTTTTATAGTGATGCCTACTGTTGCCTTATCTTTTTGACTGACAATGATGGGATTTCAGTCATGCTCAGCTTTTCTGACAGTGCCAGTGATGGGATTTTTTGAAATCTTATTACTGGTTGCACTGCCCTGATCTCAGATGGAACTTTCAATCAAAAAGGCAATCAGAAGGTTATACATTTGTGAGTTTCCCTGCAAAGCCTGTGATCGCATAATACAACTTGTTGGAAGGGCCTCCCTGCCTCCAGTCCTTATGTGGCTATAAAGAGTAATTGGCTACTTAGCTCTCAGCACCCGGTTTTCCTTCTCCAAAATACAGCAGAGCCCAGATCTCTGTTAAGTCTCAGTGTGGAATCTGGCTGTTCCTTAGAGATTCCCCAGTCTCATGCAGAGTTTTATCTAACTTTAAGCAACTGATTAAGCCAGCTCTCCCAAAGACATATTTGCCCCTTTCTAAACATTTTCATTTCACTAATAATGCCAGTGGACCTGTTTCATTTTGTTTTATGTATATACAAACACATTCCCCCTAACAATTTCACTGTAGTATTCATATTTGAGAAACCGAATTCTGTATGACAAGGTCAACATTGGAATTTTAATGTCTAGCATATCTTAATCATCTGATATTAAATAATTTCAATCTTAGGGGGCTAGAGACATAGCAAAGTGGGTTAGGGTATCTGCCTTGCACGTGGCTGACTTGCGTTTGATTTCTTGCATCCATAAAGTTCCCAGAACACCACCTGGAGTAATTTCTGAGTGCAGAGTCAGGAGTAACCCCTGTGCATCGCTGGGTATGATCTACCCCCGCAAAAAAAAAAAAGTGAAAAAAATTTTAATCTTAGGAAAATTGTTTTCCTAAACTATTATTTTAAGTACCTATTTCTTAGTATTTCAGGGAAGTTTTTCTCAACTGTTTACCAACCATACATCCTTTTTGACCATGTTTACTTTCTGTGCCCTTTGTTCTACTGGTTATCTCTCTACGTGCCTTGGACCCTGATTTATTTGATTTTCACCTGCAGCTTCCTTGGAATATCCAAGGAGTTTCTAGGGTAGAGGGCATGTATGACTCCCAGTTGAGAAATAACATTCTAGATGTATATAGAGATGTTTAATGGACATGTTTTATAATAGGTCAAATAGTGGATAGTGTTGAGGCTGAATGGATTCTCTGTGCATTCAGTCATTCAGAGACACATGAGTTCCTCAAAGAGGAATCTTAAATGTGGGATAGGTAGGAGATCATTTTGTCTAACTTGACTTTAAGACAGCAGTTCTTGTCCATTTGGCAGATAACAGTAGGGTAGGAATAAGTTTCACTGATAGAAAATGACTGATGCATGTGATACAATAAAGACTTGCAGATACATTAAAATGCCTATGGTCACTAAATGTCATCTTAAAAATAACCACACATGTATATGTAATACAGAGAGAAATGTGGCAATGAGCAGTGTATTAAGACAAATAAATAATCACTTGAATATAGTGCACTGTACATGCTACTTAAATAATGAAGTATGGAGTACTAAAATTCTTTTTAAAAATTGAGAATCCCATCAATCTATTTTACTTGAGGAAGTCTTGTGAATTCTGTTGCTTAATTATAAAGTATAAAGAAAGTGTGTGTGTGTGTGCACACACACTGGTGCGTGTGTGTGTGCTTAGATTATCATTTAAATTCAAAGTATTCTTAAAGTATAGTTTTGGCTCTAATATAATAGCACAGCGGTTAGGGCATTTGCCTTGCACACAGCCAACACAGGTTTGATTCCTCTGTCCCTCTCGTAGAGGCTAGCAAGCTACCAGGAGTATCCTGCCCGCACAGCAGAGCCTGGCAAGCTTCCCGTGGCATATTCTATATGCCAAAAACAGTAACAACAAGTCTCACAATGGAGAGATGTTTCTGGTGCCTGCTCGGGAAAATCAATGAACAATGGGAGGACAGTACTACAGTGCAGTGCTATAAAAATGTAATTGCTTATTTTATTCCAGACTATAGTACCTTAAATGAATTTTGAAGCACAAACACTGGTTTGATGGTGGCAAAGAAAGCAAGAGACCCACTTTTACTCTTTCTGAAAAACTGAATTTTGAGACACATTTTACTTTACTTTTGAGACACCTAGTATAATAAAATATAGTTTCATACCCACAAAAACTACCATGTGAAAGATTTTCTCATTGACTACCAAAGTTGGAGAATGTTAGTGTTGTACAGCTGAAATGAAATGTAATGTTTCATTAGATGTGTTTGCATGGCTGTAATAAATGGCATTTGACTTAAAAGTACACTAGAAATGAATCTGATATGGAATACATGAGTACAAATATTGTACCATCACATCTTGGTTTATAAGTTACAAGGTAGTGAGAATATTATTTGTGATAGTGAGAATAACCAATAAAAATATTGGTTACATTTTTCTCTACTGCAGATAATCAACAGTGACCAAGTACTTTTTAAGCATGTATGTGTGTGAGTGTGTGTGTGTGTGTGTGTGTGTGTGTGTGTGTGTATGTGACCATAAGGGGTGCCAGGAATCAAACTCTGGCTGGTTGCCTGCAACACAAGCACATTATTCACTGTACTGTTCCTCCAGCCATAGTTCTGTTATGTTTTGAAGTCACCAGGGACCATCAACTTGACCTCAAGAAAACAACCTTTGTGAGGATATATATTTATATACATATATATATATATATATATGGCATCATTATTGAGCAACAGAATTCATTAAGGACCCAATTAAGTCAATGGCTATTTATATATCCTAAGTATAACATTTTAACATTTTGTTTTTGTCACAGTGAAGGCAGCGTCCAGAAGGCAGCCTCCCAATTTCAGTTTTCTGCAGCATCTCAGGCAACTCCCAGCCAATGAGATGTAAGGAGAAGTAGACCCTGATTACTTTTTCTCAATGAAAAACCAGGTGGTCTTTAACTCAAATATATTTGCTACAACAGGTTTGCAAAGCCTGTGTTGCAACTGAAGACTTCCTTGCCAATTTCTGCTCCTGGTTTTACCTATGGGAGGTCTGCACCCCTGTCTGGTGGCTTTCTTCTCACATATGTTATTCTATCTCTTCTTCAGCATCTTCTTTCAGGGAGACTCAGCTCACACAGAAGGACTAACTTGGGTATAAATGTGTTTAGACCACCATTTCCTTTTAATGTCCCTAGAGCAGACTGCTGTGTGATCCTTGCCAAGCAATTTCTCTTCTCTAGTTCTTCATCATAAAGACTCTTACAAATCAAAGCAATTCTTGGGATGAACGTGGTTGAACAGACTAGAGAGAGTGGATGGTGGCTAATGGATCTTCATCTTATTGAGGTGGGGGAAAAAAGTGATGACAACAAAGGTATTTATAAAAATATATTTCACAAAGTAGGAAACAATACAGGAGTTCTCTGAATACAATACATGGAGTAAATAAACAATATTGCATTAAAGCAAAGTAGAAAATTAAAATGATCTGCATGTTTTACTTGAGTTTTTATCATACATTTTCTACTCCTACATGGCAGGTTTGCATTACAAATCGACTATGCTCACATCTTCTAGTGCTGATCTCTTTTGGAGTCTAAGACATTCTGTGCATCACCATGAAAATTGGGGAGAGAAGGTACTAAAAACGGAAGCAGTAAAATTATGTACAAATAAGTTCCTGCTCTAAAACAGTGTGTGTGTGTGTGTGTGTGTGTGTGTGTTGAGGGGAGAGGGGGCAACTTGAAGCATGTTTATTGGGCAGGGCAGGTATCTAAAATTCTAGCGCTTAAATATTCACATGAGTCAATATACTTTCAGATGTTTGTGCTTGTAGTAAAAACACCAAATACTAGGATTATGAACAAAATAGAAAACAGTCCAAAAATTTCTCTGGGAAAATGCTGTTCCTGCCATCACCAGTCACAATAACACATGTCTACTCTAAAGAGACTATTAGCTCCCCTTTTGATAATATTGCCTGCCATACTCATCTCATCAAAATGTACATGTATTAAACATTCAATTGTATATATATATATTCATATAAAAACAATCTAAAGGATTATAATGGATATAATTTAGTTTTATTTCCCATATAGCCCCTTAATCTATAGATTACCAACCTTAATAAATAAAAGCATTAATGGACATCAATAAAATATTTATTTTGAGGATTAAACAAATAAATTCACGCGCTAGCAATAAAACCATCTGTCTCTTATGTAGTCCACTGTGTGATACAGTAAATCTTTGTGTCCTCGTGGAAGAAGATGAAGTGGGGGGAGTGAGGAGAAATCCTGCTTCCAGAAAGCAAGCCTGTTGGAATGGGATTTCTCTCCTCCCACCACTGGGTTGGCACCCCCCACCCTGGAATGGATTACGAACATGTGAATATTTTAAGGCTTGACACAATATTTAAAGATGCTATTCAGTCTCAGATGAGTGGGGCCACCAATTATGTACAATGTGTGGTCACCGTACCGTATAATCTAGGAGGCCTCTCAAAACTCCAAAAAGTCACAATGTACAGCAGACCAAGTATTGCTTTATCAATTGTGGCGGGATCCTTATTGGCGAAGGGGAAAAAAACCATTTGCATTTATAAAAATCCTTTGCAGAAGACACATATCAGCAGCAAATTCCTTGCAGGTCCATTTTTTTTTCTAAGAAAGCACCTTTTAATTTTGATTTTTTTTCCTCTTTGCAAACCATTTCTCTAATGATTAGCCAGGATCCCAATCTTTGTCTGTGGTAGTCAGTTATATATCAAAATATCCAAGGACTTCTAGACACTCCACATACTTTAATTCACACTCCACAAGATTTATCACCTCCTAACATATACTTTTTATTTTATTATAATTTTTTTGGTTCAACATTAAAATGTAGTTGAGTTTATAGATGATTGGTGCTAAACTTGCCTCTAAAACAAATAGCCACATTGGTTGTGTATCTAAGGGGAGTGACCCTAGAATATTACAGAATGCTCAGTTCCATCGATTTATTTATCATCCACTGTCAAGTTTCTTTGTCACTTTCACCCACAGAGTAGAGTTCACCCAGTCTCTTAAAGCGGGGACCCCAGTCACTGAGGTAGTCAAAATTCTGGTCTGAGTCTGAGGTGGTAGACTCCAAGGAGCTGAGGGAGCCGGCCACGGACCCTCGGCCTTCATAGCCATAAATCTGAATGGAGTCATATGGTGGGGCCGTGGGGTCATTATCTGCCTCATGGAGCCGCACATTTATAAATTCATCAACATCAACACCATTCGGAACTGGAGCGAGCCCTTGCCTTGGCATAAACTGCAAATCTGGTTTAATATCCTTACGGGGTAAAAAGCCATTAATTCCATCTGGATTTTGTAAAGTGGCGATGTCAAAAGCCTCGGTGTCTTCCTCTCCTCCTCCTTCGTCATCATAACGAATGATGTTTTCTCGCACATCTTCATCATCTTTAATAATTAATGGCTCGTTCTTATGCCGCCGCAGAGTTACAAACAGCACCACGATAACTGCAGGAAAACCAGGAGAGAACAATTAGTCAGAACCAGCAGGTAACTTTGCAAGCAACCCGCAGTGCATGTTAGACCACAGGGACATCTTTTAAACACTTGGTGAGCATATGACTTTTAATGACATTTCCTTGGGAATGGGCTTTTTTTTGGTTTTTTGTTTTGGAAGGAAGGAAGAGGACTGAAATTTGTGTGAGTACTATTCCAGATTGCTTCTGCATACTAAATGGTGAGGTATGGGCTTCAAAGAGTAAGTGACATTCATTCCTAACAAAAGCTGCAATAAACACTACTGTCAACTCTAGAGTAAATGGCCCCAAATAGAAGGCAGCACAGAGCATATTTAATACCATTTGGTTCTATGCCTTTCTTCTAGAAAGAAAAGGGAACAGACTATCTCTTTTCTGAAATATATATGTACATATACATATGTATATACATATATATGTGTGTGTGTGTGTGTGTGTGTGTGTGTGTGTGTGTGTGTATCACTTATTCAAGAGTCATTTGGATCAAATAATGTCAATTCAAAGCTGAAGGAATTTATTTAGATCAATGTCAATTTGGCAAGAACAACTTTGTTTGTTTGTTTGAAAATTGTTTCTGCCCTATCTGAGAAAACAGGCCAAAGATGGCAAAAGGGTAAAGGACTTCTACTCTGATAGTCAGATAAGTCAAAACAAACCTGAGTTAATGTGGTAAGACATGTCTAGAAATTATTCTTAAACCTTTGCATTGGGTAAGTATGGCCAATATTACTGGAGAGGTAATACCTTCTATTAAGAGCAGGATAAAATAAATAAATAAAATTTTAAAAAAGAGCAGGATAAAGCAAAACTTTCCTTATGGTATATGTATCTACTGTCTTATCTCTTTCTACCCCTGACCGTTTTTAAATTGTATTTTAATAGAAAAGTTCTAGAATTTTTTTTTAATTTGTCATCTTTGTTGGAACTTGATTTTTATGTCAAGAAAAATTTCTGAGGAACACAAATAATTTTAAGTAAATTTTTAAAATTGATTTTCTTGTTTCCTTTTTATCTCACCAAAGTTTGTGACTAGTTAGACTCAACAATCATTTCTGTATTATTTAAATCATGCACTCTAGCTAGAGAGATAGTACAAGGGGTAAGGTGCATGGTTTGCATGAGGTCAAACCCAGTTCAAACTTCAGCCCCATATATTTCCTCCCAAATACCATCAGTGCAGAGCCAGGATTAGTCTCTGAGCATGACCAGGTATAGTCCAAACTGCATTCCTCCCACCCAAAATAGATCAAGAAGTATTTGGGACAGAGGAGATTCCCCTATTTTAGCAAGAGGGTGGGTATTAGGGAGTATATATGTCTTCTACCATAAGAGATGCTGCTGTAAAAATAAAGCTCAGTCCCCACATCCTGAGGAGTCTGCTTGTTCATTGATAATAAGATTGAAAAAGGCATTACTCCATAACTTAGAGGCCAGCCTGGTATTCTAGGGGAAAGGACAATTCAGATAGAAACGGGAACACCAAGTGGAGGGTGTTTGGAGGATCCTCCCAGGAGGGGAGATGCAGGTTGAAAGTAGACTGGACTGAACATGTTCGCCACTCAATGCCTCTTTTGCTGGTCACAACACCCAAAAAGAGAGAGAGAACAAAAGGGAATGCCCTGCCACAGTGGCGGGGGGAGGGGGGGGGGATGGGGGATGGGGGGGTATTATCCTGGTGGTGGAAAATGGGCACTGGTGGAGGGATGGGTATTTGATCGTGGTATGACCGAGATCCAAGCACAAAAATTTGTAAATCTACAACTGTACCTCATGGTGTTTCACTAATAATTAAAAAAAAAAAGAAGAAAAGAAAAAGGCAAGACATGCTCCTCTTCAAGTGAACATTATCAAAACCCTTATTCTCCTCTTGAGTGATGCCACTTTGTAGAAGCATAAGGGGGCTTTCTTGTCCTAAAAGAATACTGAAACCTGGCTATCCTTTGTTATAATCATTTATGAACCAGAAAAAAATGGTGACCATTAGTCAATGGAGGAAATACGTACCTAGCAGCAAAATGATGCATGCTAATATGGCAATTAAGGCGCCCATACTGAGTCCAATCGGAAGGACATAAGCTTCAACATTACAAGACTGGACAACACCATCGCTGCTGCAGCCACAGACCCGGATGGTCAGGGTACTGGTGCTGCTCAGAGGAGGATTCCCACTATCACTGATTATGATTGGTAAAAGATAGACTTCTTGCTTCTGACGGTTGAATCCATTATGCTTTGCCAAAATGCTGAGGGAATTATCTGGAAAAGGTGAAAATTACAATAGTTTGCATCATTTCATAATGGCTGCTCAAACAACACTTGTTTTTCTAGTTCATAAATCCTCTGCAAACCTTCCAGAAAATCCTAACTCCAATGGCCGAGTGGGCGCTTTCCTTTACCACTCTTCGCTCTTTCCCAGTTAGAATGGACCAACATATCTATGCCCTAATGAATTTAGCGCATCGGGTCCCATGAGGTACCAAGTGTAATTTTACCTTTGCCCAATAAATACCAAAGATTAATTTTACAAAAGTAGTCTTCAACTGTCCCTTCAGGAGACACGAATTATTCTCCATAAATAACTAAATTTCTCTCATTTATTTTACTAATGCAAAATTATTCCAGTAGAGTTTCATCACATTTGAAAATAACTCTGAGTTAAAGGATAGCCTATGTCACAATATGGGATACCAAAAAAAATACTTTGTTGACTGCCAGGATACCTAAAAAGAATTATCATGCCCTAGAGAATTTATACTAAAACAGAAAGTCTTATTTATTGCCAATTGGAGGAGCTATGTAATGTATATTAAAATTGTTCTAGTGAAGACTTATAGTGGATACTGTCACTGTTACTGTCCTCACATTTTTCATCAATTTTCTCGAGTGGGCCCAGTAATGTCTCCATTGTGAGACTTGTTGTTACTGTCTTTGGCATATTGAATACATCACGGGTAGCTTGCTAGGCTCTTCCATGCCAGCAAGATACTCTCAGTAGCTTGCTGGACTCTCTGAGAGGGGTGGAGGAATCGAACCCAGGTCAACCAGATTGGCTGCATGCAAAGCAAACCCCCTACCTGCTGGGCTATCGCACCAGCCCTGTAGTGGATACACAAGAATAAAATAAGAAGTTACAGAAGTAGGTATTCCATTTTACATGTGTTAATTAATTATATAAAGATTTTATGTTGATGATCTGGAGCAATGCTTAAGGACTTTCAAATAATACTTAAGGCCATATCAGTTCAAGGTAAAACTGGTCAGTGAGAAGTATTTGACTGTGAGCCAAATGGTGCTCAAAACTACATTCTTAAAATAATTTTTTTGTTAATCACCCATAGCTCTTAATTATGACTATACCATATATACATATATAATACACTTTATCATTATTCATGTTAATTCTATAAAAATCATGTCTTTACAAAATGGAAATACTGATTCTCATGCTGATATTCCAGCCAAAAGCAAATAAACATAATTTTGATTAATGTGTATAGTGTTATTTGAGCAAAATTACATTTCCTTTGAAAATTTTCTTAAATACTGGCAAGTATTTTGCTGGCCACAGAAAAGTTGGTACCTCATTGTCACTCATTAAAGAAAGGATTCCAAACCATTACTGTGTAATTTCTGGTCATCAGTGTCCTATTGGTCACCAGAAGACTCAAAATACATTAGCAGATTTTCCATGAGTATATATTAATGTGTTAAGTCTTCTGTACTATATAGTGTTACATCAGTATTTTTTAAAATGATGGCCATTACCACAACTGGCAGTATAAATTATATTTATTTTTGCTTTGTTTAATACATAAATCTGCCTAAAATGTCGTACTAGTAAGCAACCACTCGATTGAATTAATCATTTTTTAACTGTGCCTTATTCATAATTTGAAAAGTAAAAAGAGATCTCAAATTGAGCTAAGCAGTAGTATTCCAAATAATCCAGTAGCATTTATTTTCATAACCAAGAAAGAAATACCACTAAGCTAAAAGCTGTAGAACATTATCTCAAAACAGATATAGGATATATAGCTGTGTTATATTTTCAGAAAGCATGTGACAAGTTGAAGTACAGTTAATTAGTACAAGGAACATTTCTGGATGATTTCATATACCATAGCTCAAAACAAAAAATGAGAATTGTTCTTCAATATGCAATTAATAAAATTACAATGAGGCCTTTGTCTTTTTGTGGCTGACATTATTTATATGAAAAACTATCGTTACATATTCTCTGTAAAACAATCTATAATGATAATTTAGAAACTGCAATAGTACTATTACTCATTATAGAACAAAACTATCTCCTTTATTATTAGTAAAGCATTGTCAGGTCTATGATTCTAATTCTAGACTCATATTTTCATATTACTCCTGGTATCTGCAAATGCTATTTCCCTCTATAGATAGATACCATCCGAGAAAAGAAAGTCATTTTTGATAAAAATTTCCTGGTAGTTCCACGAATACTCTCTTCCCTATTTTCCTATTTTTATTTTAACCACTTTTTGATTAATATTTATATTCATTAATAATTTTATTGAGGCATTTCATTAGGCCAAAAATTATATATAATAGAAAAATAGATATAGCAGTTTAGTATACAATTACATTTATATATATTTAAGCTACATGTTATAAATATAAACTATAAAATTGTAGTTTCTGTAAAACATGGCAACTTTTTAATTACAATTTTAATTTTAATATTTTCTTCAAAGCATGCCTTTTTTTATTTACATTTTAATTTCAATTTAGCCATTTATCTCCTTTATGCTTAGTGTTTCATCCTTAAATTAAAATGATTAGTAATCTAAAATTACTTTTCATAATGTTTCCTTCCACATTTAAACAATTTGTATGCAATTGATATTTTTGTACTGATTATTGATTTTCCCAAGGTTAATTATACAGTAACTTATCCCTTGCCCACTGATCTTCAATGTTTAGTCTCTCACAAATCAAAATTGTGCACATTTACATTCTTTTAAGGATTCTTGATTGCATCCTGATGTTCTGTCTTTCTTTTATTCTGCATCAATTCCATGCTTATAATGGATGAAAACATTATAATAAATCTTGATGGTTGATGTATTTTTTCCCTGCTTTTTATAAAGAGTGTTTTGACTATTCTTATTTAATAGCTAATCCTTTGTAGATGCAGCTTTAGATTATCAGGTTCCATGATAATTCTTGGAAGAACTTAGTGAAATTATATTAAAATATAATCATTATTGGAAGGTACTAGCTTAATGATATTTATTCTTTATATCAAGAACATAAATTCTTTATTTTCTTTAATATATGTTGACACAATGCTTTATTTTAGCTACATAAAATTTTCACCTCTTAGATTTCTTTTTGGTCCTAGAGATATTTTGTTGCTTGCATAAAGAGTATCTTTAAAAATTATACTTTTGGACCAGAGATAGGGCACTTGCCTTGCATACAGCCAACCAGGTTTCAATACCCAGCAACCCATATGGTCTCTGAGCTGTGTCAGGAGTGATCCCTGAGCACAGAGCCAGGAGCAAGCCATGAGCTTTGCCAGTGGTGGCCCCCAAACTAAAATAAGGCCCTCCCGTTGATCGTCGATTTGCTCGAGCGGGCCCAGTAACGTCTCCATTGGAGACTTTGTTGTTACTGTGTTTGGCATATCTAATACTCTTGGTAGCTTGCCGGGCTCTCCGAGAGGGGCGGAGGAATCGAACTCGGGTCGGCCATGTTGGCCGCTTGTAAGGCGAACGCCCTAAATTAAATACATTTTCTTTTCATCTCAATTGTTTTAAACTTTTATTTTAATTCCAGTATTTCCCCCCAATTTTCCTTCTACTTGTAAAAATGTACATCCTTGCAATTGTATGAGGAATTCCATAGAATTGGTCTCTAGTAAAACTGGTGAGAAAAATTTAAAGGTAATCTGTTTAAAGCCACTGGAAAAAAAAGTCCTGGAGGCAAACAGCTAAGAGAAACATTTATTCAAGACTACCAAGTAGATTTTGGGAATAATAGAATACCAGTGTGTTAATCAGAATCCTCTCAGCTCTGGGAGATGGGAACTCCATTTCCAGAACACAGGACTCCATCACCACCCCCCCACCAACAACATAATCTCACTCAATGGCCCCCTCCCCCACCCACCCTGAGTTGGAACTTTTAGCAGCAGTAGCAGCAGTGGCGGCAGGATATCAGCAGTTTTTTTCTGGGCCTTGCTACCTAAATCTGAAACTGCATTTTGGATCAGTCTTGCCAAGAAGCAAGGATCTTTCCTTCCTCTTACCCTACCTCATGTAGCAAGGACTCTACCTGGGCCTACCTCTCTGGGATTAGAGGGTCTCCGTAAACTTTGATCTGATGGTTAAGAAGTATTTCAGTGCTGGGACAGCTAAACCAAAAAAAGACTGGAGGCAACTGGCCCCCAGCACCAAGTGATTAGCTCTGAAAGCTGAGAAACACACCCTGATCTATGGACTATTCCAGGGCTAATGACTTAACGTTTTGCCTGAGGTGAAGCAGCCGAGAACCCAAGAACCCAGGACAGAGTTGGTGGGGAAGAGCCTGCCAGAGTTGGAACAAAAGAGAAACAGAGAGATATTCTTTGGAAAAAAGTCCAGAGAGCTAGTGCCATAAGCTGGAGGGTCTGGTTTACAGGAGGCATTCTTGTTTCACTCTGGCACTCAGCATTGCCAGGATCAATCTCTAAAGACCTAGGATGGAGTAACCTCTGAGCATTACTCAAAAAAGAAAAAAAAAAAACATTAAACTACAAAATACATGAAATGGTGCAAAGAAAGTTTCCAACAAATGGCATTGGGAAAAACTGGATAGTCACATGTAAAACTAAGGAAGCTGGCCCTGCATCTCATATAACAAAAGTTAACTCAAAGTGTTATTAAGGACCTCGTTATTGCGCCAGAATCCATATAATACAATGAAGAAAACATAGGCAGAACTCTCCAGGAAAATGGTCTTTAGTGGGATTTCCAGGGATTTAACTGCAGAATTAAAGAAAACAAAAATAAACAAATAGAATTACATTGAATTAAATAGATTTTGCATGGCAGAAGAAACTCAAGCTAAAACGATATCCTACTGAATGAGAGGAAATATTTGCAGCCAATACATAACACAATGTATTCCAAGAGTTACAGTTTTTGCAGGATGTAACCAAAAAAAAAAAATTAATAACCTCATGCAAAAGTGGGGCGAAAAGGTGAAGACATTTCCTCAAAGACAGCATGCAGATGTCTAGT